GGTTCCTATATAATAAGTTTAGGTTTAGACCTTCTGTAGTGTTAAGGTTTAGGGTTTAACCCTGTAATAATACTTGGAGAGTCTAGATTGGGGTCCTCAAATTCGAGCAAACTACCAAGTGATTTCTGAATAAGATTTCTCCCCAAGCAACAGAACTGGGTGGTACTTTAAAGGAACCTAAACATGCTCATGAACAGGTCCCCTTTTTCTCCCGTAGAGGGGGAGATCATTTATCATCCCAAAGTGTGGCCCAGTCCAAATGGACTGTACTGGCAAGACATGGAATGTTGTCCAACAACTTGGCCCGAAGGTCTGCACCTTGAAGCCCCTATGCCCCTAATGTAGACCACTGACTAATAAACCCCCTCCCCTTAATAGGGTTTATACTCGGGATCCGAATATTAAGCCCCACAAGGAGGGGGTCTATAAATCAGGGGTCTGCATTAAACCCTAAACCCCTAAACCCTATGCCCCCCAGGCCTGATGGCATCTGGTCACATGCTTTTTGGGGAAGGACACCTATGGAATGCCCTCAATTTGGTGCCACAAAGGATGGGGGTTGTTCTTCAGGCCCTGATCAAGGAGGGACCATTGGGAATACACTTCCTTAAAGGGGGGATCCTACCTAAAAGGGAACCTACCCTGTGGTCATTTTGGGGGTCAGGTACCTTGAACAACTACCAGATGACAGAAGGCATGTTCGCATGGGTCGAATCACGCCGAAACAATTTGGCCGAAGGCAAACCCGGAGGCAATGTAGCACACAGCCTAGGTAAACCCCAGACAGGCAGAAGAAGAATCCAAGCAAAAGTGCACACGATCGATCCCATGTGTGAAGCTGTCAGGCTACTCGACGGCCCAGCTCCCCGGTGGAGCCAGCAACGAAAACCTGGCATCCAGCGACTGCAAGACTCCCAAATGCATGAGGAAGATGACTGCAACCCTGAACCCTAAATCCTGAAACCTACAGCCCTAAACCGTGTACTTCCAGTTCAGTTTCCTACACCATGAATCATCAAGGGACTATGCGGGCCAAGCAGAGACGGCCCAAACTGGAGCATTGATGCCCTCCAGGGAATGTCAAGCAGACTTAGGAAGTACACTTACAATCCCCAAGGCATGTCAAAATCCCCCACTTTCAACCTACCTGAGAAGTCCACCCGACGATCTGAGTGATACAAAACTGCAGTAGAAAAGCTAAAATCTACAATCAGCTTTTCGGACTTTTCAGTCTACGCCAAAGAAAACGGCAATCTGCGAGAGAGTTCACAGAATCTAAAGAACTGCCAAATCTACCTCACTGTGAGGAGGATGTGGGCATGGCACTCTATAAGACAAGGTCAGGTAACGGACATGCCGAAAAGGGGTGCAAAAGCCAGGGTGTTTCACACCAAGGCTACCTACCACCTAACGAGAATTCGGTCTCGAGGTCCTGAATCTAGTAGCATTCTGTTTCCCGGTGGTACTTCAGAAAGCTTTGAAGGCATCAGAATTTGTTTATGAATAGGTTTCCTTTATCTCACAATAATTATCCCAAAGCGCCACCTAGTATTTGCTTCTAAGCCTGACGCGTTGCTCGCGACTCAGGTTCGAAGTCATACTTTCGTCGATATTCGATCTCCTCCTCCAACTTGCGAGGGTCCTCCGAGATCTCCTCCACAGCAGAAAGCTACAAGTACGTATAATCCCCAGATAGAATATGGCTTTGGGTATATTATAATAAGATCCCCATATACCCCATATTCTATCTACTTAAGGGGGACTATAAGTGTGCACTACGAGAAGCTAGCCCGATTCCCTACTCAGGCTTTCCAAGCTTTACTTGCAGCCTCCTCGACTTGTGCGTTACCATAGGATGCTTAGGGAACTGTCGCTTTTGCTAGAATCTGTCCTTAGAGAGCCGGCACATGTGGGCGTTGTGCACCTCGTGGATGAGGCGGTTGGGCGGGAGGTCGGTACGCTCACATTCCTCTGGGAAAGTTACGGACTGAAAGGACTTCCGCGAAATTCTCGACAAAGAGCTGTCCCAGTTGTCCAGGATGGCCTGAACTTCACCCTCCTGCAGTTTGCGGATGCTGGCGCCCTTGCTTGCCTTGAATTGCTCTACTGAGAATGACTGCCAGGGGGAGTAAAGTGGTGACAAAGGGGAAGCTGGCGACTCTGGATCTACGTCAGTCGGCTCCGGCTTCTGTGCTCGAGGAACACGACTCAGCGACTCGAATGGGAGCTTCTGCTGCATCGTGGGCCCTGGCACTCTTACTATTATTGTTATTATTCCATGTTATTGGTACTATTATTCCTACTATTATTGAAGCCGGCCCTCAGAAGCTTGAGCCCAGATGCGCCCGGCGTTCTCAGGCATTGGCAGGAGATCATTAGGGTTCCGCAAAATGATATAGTACCTTTTGGGGTCCCAATAGTAAACAGGATGTTAATATATGGGGGGGGTCAGTCGGCATGTCTGAAGGCTTGTGAAGCGTCTGTAAAGCAGTCCGCGTGCCTTCGGCTTGTCAAGGAAGCAGGCCACCTGATCGCAGATGTTGAGGCCTCAGTCACGTGAGCACCCTGACCAGGCAAGTCAAGTAGAAGTTAGCTTTGGACAACACGATGAGAAGCTTTAATTTCTATAAATAGGGCAAACCTAACATTTGTAATATGGACCCCAGCAGAATGCTAAAAGCCTTATTATACGGACCCGAATAAGGGACCCCTCTTTATGGAAAGCCCTCAGAGGGGTAACCCATCATGTGGATGTACCTCCGTTCCCTGCTGCTTTGCAGACCTCTGCGTCAGAGTGGGCCTCCTTGAATCCCACCTCTCAGGGTTTGGGGGACCTGAAACATGCTATATAGGTGTTACACATTGTTATATACGGAGAATAGACAAGAAATGGAAACTACTAACTAGGGTTTAGGGATATTACCCCAATAATAAAAGGATCAAAAGGAGAAGAAACTGGACCATGAAATGGAAGCTGGGATTATAGAGTGGTTTAGAGGGATTAAGGTTTCTTTTGCGGTAGCCTGCTTGAGAGAGCGCTGTCTCAGCCTCACAGAAAGGGGAGCAAGCTGGAAATACCCCACAGGCTCAAACCAAGAAATCTGGCCAACAGCACGGATGCATGCATGTCCAATCACAACTGAGGGCCTCTAGAAAAACATCTTGAATCCTGAAGTCCTTTAGGAAGGTGTCTGGGTGTCAGCCAAGATCCGGCAAACAGGCTAAACCCTAATTCCTTACTAGATCGCTAGTTGAAAGCCAACTCTTCCCACCTGAAAATCTCTGCGCTCAAAGCCCCGACATCAGTAGGCTGGGGCAGTGCACCGCTGTGAATCCCTACAGTAACTCGGCTCCAAAGATTGCAGTCAAACTATGGAGACAGCCCTACCTGAGTAGCTTTTTTTTGGTGGTTAAGCCTAGCAAGATAATATTCCTTATAAAAATACTACACCCAAAAAGGAGGATATAATCTTACTCTGTAATGGGTACCATAGTATCCCCAAATCACATACTACTCACCTGTAGGACCACCCTAAGCCGGGCTTAGACACGCGCATCGTACAGCTGTGCAGGCACGGCAATGAATGTCTGTCCCGGCTAGCCCAGTGCATTGACTGGCTAACAAGGGTTTAGGGTCTAGGGTTGCCCAAAATCAGGGGTACCTTTCTGATATCCACAATACTCAGGATTATAGTATTGGAGGGCATATGTTGGGTACCCCTGTTTATGGAAACTCCCATGCCTATAATACTGTAGTAGTTTCCATTTTCTTTTCCATGACCCCTCTCTCTCCCCAATATTCCCCCAACATAACCCCTATCTTACTGGGGTTTAGCAGGGAATGTGGCAATATAATATAGGTGTTATATAGGGATTACGTTCCCTTATTCCCTACTAACCACCAGTAAGCTATACATGGCTTTGGTGCCCTGAACGCTCTTAGATGGTCTTTGCTTGCATTCGCTGCGGGCGCGGCCGTCAGTTCTAACGAGCTTTCCATCCGGCCTTCAGAGCTCAAAAGGATCCAACAAATCCACCACCCTAAAATGACCAGATTGGGCAAAGATGGCAGAGTAGAGGATTGTTGGGAGGTTCCAATTTTGGATCTTTTGGGGGGTTGCAAGTGTGGGGCAAGCAAGGGTTCAAGTTTTTGGTACCACCCCCTCGCACACTGGGTTCAGGGTTTAGGGATTAGCCTTTGGCGTTCTTCAAGTCTTCACACGCTTGGAAACATGGCTATGTTGTGGCTGTGGCTTCCTTGACTACCGTTCGGACAGTCGTTGAAGCAGCAGAGATGTTAAGCACCCTGGCCCTCTCTCAGTCAATCTTGGTACTTGATTACAGATCCTTGTGGCTCAAGTGCAACATCTAGCAGATCAAATACTGAGGGTTAACAGGGAATAAGGGAGTGTAGTCCCTATATAATCTCTATATACTATATTCCCTTACACCCTACTTACCCCTAGTAAGATCAATATCCTCATATTATGTCATACGGGCAGCCCTTGAAAAAGGACTCAACTCGTGTAAGTAGGCGGAACCTTTTAGATGGGAGGATTGAAGGTAAATGGGGGATTTCCCAAAATAAGAGTACCCTTTTTGGGGGTCCCTATAATAAGGACCAGAATATATTAGGGTCTGTTTTCTTTACTCGCCGCTATCTCTGAGGGTCTATATTGGGGTCCCCTTATTTCGGGAAACTACCAAATCGAGCTTATTCCACGATCGAATTTAGGCACGCGGATCGCACTCGGCAGGCGCGGTTCGCTCCAGGGTCCCAGCAGGCTAGCTTGCACACGATCGAATTTAGGGCTTAGGGTTTAGGGACCCTAAGCCCGAAGCCCTAAACCACAATATTGTTTATGTCAGCCTGAGGTTTGGCAAAAGAGGCTCACAGAATCCTCTTTGCGCACTGCTAGGTCGGAACAGTTCTACCAAGGTAGCCTTTCATGCCCTCAACCCAAAACCCTAAACCTCAAACCCTGGACCCTTACCCCGTAGCCTTGAACCCTAAACCCCTAACCTTAAACCCTGGTCCCTAAACCCTAAACCTTACGTAAACATGACTTGAGTTCAGCATGTCGCTGCCCGTTCCTGTGGCAATGCGTTTAAGCCTCCGACAGAACTGCGCGGCCATACCTCATGTTCTTAAAGGTTTTTGAAATTAGGGTTAAGGGTTAAGGGTTTAAGGTTTGGGGCGTATGGCATCCCTCATGTGGGGTTCCCAAGGTTTCCCAAACTCAGAAGTGTATTACCCCAATACTAGAGAATCAAATGGAAAGGAGCATGGAAGATGAAATGGAAGCTGGGATTCTAAAGTGGTTTAATCCTCTCCGCCCAATGTTAATCCCCCCCACCCCTGGTATAACCCACCCCCCCCCCCCTTATATCAAACTCCACCACCCCCCCCCCCTCAGATTGAATGCTCCCCATTGTGGTATA